AAAATGAAATGAGTTACATTCTTTTGTAAGGGTGAATTTCTTTGTAAGGGCAAGGAGATAATGAGTAGCTGGGCAAAAGCTTTGTTTACATTTTAAGCAACAGAAAATGTATAATTTACCCCCAGTTTGTGTTCTTTAAACATACTAAAGTTAATTCTCAGTTTAAGAAAACATTGGCTGCTTGGACAGAAGTATTGAGAGGTCTGATTTGCCTTCTAGTTGCACTGCTTTTATGCTGTGGTGATTATTGAACCAGATTCTCAGATGTAACCTGGCAGAGCTCCACTGAAATAAGTAAAATCAATTTAGGCAATTATTCTGTTTGATGATGTTCCTTATAATCTTCACTCCTGCTTGGGAGTGGTCAAACTGGGAAGAATTCAACTTTTCATTTATACACTGTAGATCCACGTGCCATTGTCTTCTGCAATGCATGGGCATAGGGAGCCTCTGGTTTGACTGGGTGTCCACTTACTTGCAAAGAGGTCCCATACCTGACATTCTTTTGTCAAGACCAAGCATTGTTGGCAAACAGACTATGTTGGTGATAGGTTTTCTGAGGTGTTAAGGAAGGGGTTGTGCAGATCAGCTGAGTTTCACTGTCTGCCCCAATGAGACATGCAAAAAAGTGTGCGGTGTCAATCAAGCTAAATTGGTGAAGAACACATTAGAGGAAGAGAAAGTGTAAGAGGCTGAGGTTGGAATGACCTTATAGGAGCTTTACAGTGCTATAGCTGTCTTGTAACAGAACATTGAAAGTACCGTGAATGTATAATGTTTATAGTGTTATTTTGTCATTTGTGGATTGTCCCTTATTTTGCATATGCTGACTTTAATTCCCTGAAATTAGATCCATGCAGAAGTACCTTGAAATCAATAGGACTCTAAGCAGGTGCATGGGTCAGTCATTGAGGATCAGATGGCAAGACTGTGATTTAAATTTAACAGTGAAGCAGCTTCATGTTGTTTTATCGTGTGTTAATCTGGATATGGGAATGAGGTGCAGTAGTTATATGCCTTACTGTTGTAAAGTCACCTGTCTTATGTTTGTGGCGGGGCATGAGAGCTAACTTCAGATGTCTTGGTCTTTTTGCTTAGTGGTTTAAGAGTAAGGCTGCTTAAAAACATCCGCTGCAAATAAGCCATAACACACTGTATTTAGTCAACAGTTGGCACAAAAAACCAGCCAAAGGTAATTGCTTTCAATTACATGGGGAGATATACTAGTGTTTTTGGTTTTGTGTGATACACCTCTCTCACCCTGTGGCCAGTGAAGTTAAATTTTCTTTTGAAAAAGGTATCTTTAAAACGGTGGTAGGGAGGATATGCAGCATATCTGCCTGCAAAGAAGTATTTTGCATAGTGGAGAGATAAGTAAAATTAATGAAAGGATATATAACTTCCTCTCAAATTTCCCTGTCAGTTTGTGGCAGGAAGAAGTATTTTAAACTTTCATAGGGTATAATAACTGGCAGTTCATTCATAACTATGGAAAAGGCAGCTTGGTGTGCTAGAGAGGGGGCAATTTGAAACTATCATTTTTTTCCTCCAGCACTTCTTTTCTCCTGACACAATTGCTTGTTAGCATATATTTTTGTTTTGTTCAACCATTTGTTCCATATACCCTTGGGAAATAGAGCATCAGTGTGACATGCCTTCAAAAAGGTATACATAGTCAGATATAATGCACTTTAGAATCCTCCATTGTTCAGAGTCCAACATTAGTAACATATAACAGTGAAAAAGGATGGTGAAAGACTCTATTGATTAAAAGTGAGGAATCAGAGATCCTATCAACCAGTATATATTTTCCAGAAAAATAACTTGTTTGTTTAGCTACACAAATACATGTAGCAGCATTAAAAATGGACCCACCTGAAGGACTAGGAAGGGCTGCCCTGCAGAGGGACAGAGTGCGAAGAGACAGAGTTTGTCCCAGTAGGGACACTGTTTATCGTGAGGGTGAGTGAAACTGTTTTGGAGGTAGCCCTCTTGGAAGTGGGACGGGTGGTGGAACCCAGCAGGGTATGAATGAGACACATTAGCAATAGCCTGGAAAGAGTCCTGGCCTGGGATTGGCTGAGAGGCTTGGTTAAAAGAGGGGAGCAGTTTTCCCGGTGGGGAGAACAAAGGACAGAGAGAAGGGTTGAGAGACAGGCTGGAGACCAGGGAAAGGATTTCCCCATGGCTGTCTCCCCTGAGAGCCCCTGGCAGAGCCTTGCAGAAGTAGCAGCAGAGGCTGCACCGAGAGTACTACATGGCGAGAGGCCACACTGTGTCCGTTATCCCACCCTTCCCTTAGCCCTGCTGGGGCAAGACAAGAGAGGAGCTGCCTGTGAGGAGACTCCAAGCCTGGGAAGACCCTTCTGCAAGCCCCTGTGTGGCTGCGAGAGCGCAGGAAGGGAGGAGGATGCAGGGCCATGCAGAGACTGCTTGAGACTGCCTTGGTTTTTCCTCTGTGTGAGAAGGCACTGGGGAAGGGCAGTAGGGCTCTGCAAAACACCATCGTTTAATTTTGACGTCTGGTTCAATGTTTCAAAGGAACAGTGTTTTGTTTCATTTAATTTCAGAGCACTGTCCCATTTTGTTTCGTTGAAACTTTCGCTGTTTTGACGTGTTTCGACGTTTCGCCCAGGGGCTGTAATGGGGAATCATGACAATGCCTAAAACGTTGTCATTTCTTGCCTGATTTGGATGAAAATTGCAAGGGTGGTAGCCCCTTCTGAGGGCATGAAGCCTGTCAGGTTTCAAGGAGATAGGTGTAGGGATTTCTGGGAAACTGCACTTCAAAGTGATCAAGCCAAAAGTCCTAACACTTGCCGGCAGCGGCAGCCTCCTGTCATCCAGTGCACACATCCAGGGGCTTGCATCCCCGGGAGGGCTGTGGGGCTGTGCTGGACTCCTCCCAGGGTTGCGAGCCTCTGGATCTGTGTGCTGGATGACAGGAGGCTGTCGCTGCCACCTGGGACCAGTGGCAGCAGCAATCTTCCCCAGCACTGGGTGCAGGCTGCCCCCAGCACCAGTCCCAGGTGGCAGCCTGAGCCTCCTGTCATCTGGTGCTCCCATGAGAGGAGGCTCAGGCTGCTTGTGCACAGAAGCGATTCACAGGGCTCATGTGCATAGGACCCAGGCCAGTGTGGCCAGCAGTCCCCACGACTGATATGCAGCCTCGAGTGACAGCTAGGAGCTGCCCAAAAGCACACGGCCCCATGCTGCACTGTGCTGACCGGAGCTGGGCAGCAGCAGCAGCATGCTGTGGCAGAGGCGGCAGATACCCACCATGCAGGGGGCCAAGAGCATGGCTGCTGATGCTGATAAGCTGCAGAGGTGGGGGGGCTGGAGTCATGTGGTGGCCTGGGGCTGGACAGGGAGGCGAGTGGGGGATGCCGGTCCCAGGTGGGACAAGCAGGCTGAGCTTCATCTCACTGGGGCGCAGATCCAGGGGCTCGCAGCCCTGGGAGGGCTGCCGGGCTGTGCTGGACTCTTTCTGGGGGTGTGAGCCCCTGGATCCGTGTCAGATGACAGGAGGCTGAGGCTGCTGCCTGGGACTGGCGCTGGGCTCAGCCCACTCCCAGTGCCTGGGAAGATTGCTGCTGCTGCTGGTCCCAGATGGCAGTGACAGTCTCCTGTCATCCAGTGCACAGATCTGGGGGCTCGCACTCCTGGGAGGTGTCCAGCACAGCTCTGCAACCTTCCCAGGGTTGCGAGCCCCCAGATCTGCTTGCTGGATGACAGGAGGCTGCCACTGCCACCTGGGACCGGTGCTGAAGCCAAGTAAGCCCGACTTTGAAACTTGAAACGTTTCAAAACTTTCAAAACGTTTCCAGTGCCCTTACTCCATTTTGAAGCTGTTTTGAAGCCTTTTGCTTCATTTCGATTTCACTGTTTTGAGCTTGAAATGCATCGAAGCAGCTTCAAAATGAAACACCTGGTGAAATTTTGCACAGCCCTAAGGGGCAGGCTCAGGTGCTGGAGGGAGACTTGGGCTAGAAGGACAGGGACTGTTCCAGCCACCATAAGCCCTGGGGCAGGCAGGGCCCGGGGGGGGGGCTGCATTTTGCCAGATGCTGTGAGGCTGTGCTGGGCAGGGGAAAGTGTTACAACCTGCAGCCTAGACACTACTCCCTGCAGAGCCAGGGAAGGGGTGTGGGCAGGAATCTGCTCTCTTGCGGGGACTGCAGGGGAGGAGCCACCGCCTGCTGCACCAGGGACCACCCACAGATCCTGCACGAGGGATGCCAGCACCAGGGACCACCCACAGATCCTGTGCTTGGGACACGGATTCAGTTGTGCTCCCTGAGACACCCAGCCAGAGGCAGTGCAGACAGGGTCCTCAGTAACCTGTGTACAAGTTACAGACTCCGTAAATAAGTTCTTAATGGTTTATTAGTTGGAGTATCAATGTATTTATGTATTGGTTCTTTATTTACTGTGGGTAATTTGTATACCTTCCCCCTTGTGTAATGTGTATCCAAGAAGCATTAACCTTTAAGCCACCATCACCAGGTCATGCAGTGTAACATTTGTTCTATTGCACTGGTTATATGTTACCTTGTAAATGACTAAATCCTGTAAACAGTTTATAACAGTCTGCAAGGTTGTTTGATTGTAAGGGGAGGCTCTCTGCTCAGAGACCCTACAGCAGCTACCCAGGGATCTGGGCGGAGCCACTGGATACCAGGTACCCCAGCATCCCATTATTCCGGTGAAGGCACGGGAAGTGTCATGCCCAGGGTTACATATAAAATTGACCCAACCAAATGTGTGTATTTATAAATGCAAAGCAGCATAGTGTTCAGTTGTCACTGACATCTTGAATGACTCACTGAAAGAGACTGGGGTACCTTATCTGGGGATATTAAGGCTAGAGCAACCATTGTGATCAAGCTGTGATAATGAGCACTTCCCTTTCCATCTTGGGATAAGTTTGTGGAAGTAAGTCTGGAACTGAAAGCTAAGTTTGTTGTTGTTGTTTTCTTTTTGTATTTCTTGTCTGCCAGTCATGAAACGGTTCCTGCTGGTGGTTATCCTGGTAGCTGTTCTTATGTATGCCGTGCTTCACACAAATGTGTGGAAGACAAATGACTACTGGTAAGAGTAATCTCTGGTCTTTGTTGGTCCAAACATACCTTGCTTCGTGTATGTTCCATGATCATTAAAGTTATGACATCTCTCTGACCCCACTACCTATTGGCTGCATCTACATGAGACATTTAATGTGTAGTAAACGTTGTGCCTCTACAGGTACACCCCTATTAGGCTGGAGTAAACTAATTTACTCTGCAGCAGGATAGTACTTGTAAACACAAGTACTATTCCACTGCAGAATGAAAAACTCCGCAGCAGTGCGTATGGAGACACTGCCCCGGCGGACTGGGACATAAGGTTGCTTCAATGTGGGGGCTGCCTGCTGGCTAGCCCTGCACTGAAGCACCTTTGTGCCCCAGCCAGCCCTCTGCAGCATGTTGAACTGGGAGG